AATATCGGTACTTCTCTATTACTAAAATATTTAAATATGGAGCAAATTTAACTTTACAAGCAACAATCTATACCTGTCTTTATTATAAGGGTAATAATCTCCAAATAACAGATAGCTCACAGCCTAAGGGAATATAACCACTTGAAAAATGTTACCGGTATTTTCCATCATTAGAGACTAGTTATTTACTGAGTAAGTTGTGTTGCCTAAATTGGTCAATATCAGTTCCATTTTACTTTTTCAGAGACCAAGACTTCAAGCAAACAATGATAAAGTTTTTTGCCTTCCTCAAACAGTGTGCTGCAGTATTACATAGTTCTAAATGTTCACTATGATTTCATGTCATCTTGTCCTATACAAATACCTTTTTACTACAGTATTTGTTAGTTGCTTAAAAAATTACATTTTGAGATCTTTGTAATCCATTTCAACACTTTTTTTCATGAATTAAATATTTCTAAAAACTGGAAAATATTTATGGCAAGTTTTGACCCATAAGGGATGCAAGACCAAGAAACGTTTAATGCAAATAAATTAAATGGGTAAATTTTCTAACAGTAAAGTCTAAATAAGTGTAATATAAAAAGCATTTTGTTATGAATTAGTTTCATTAACTGAAATCATTCCAATGTATAAAACAAAATTTAAGCACCACACTATGAACATGATATCTGCCTCTTGTTATGATGTATCATTAACAAGAAATAGGAAGTTAAGCCTCAAAAGTGGACTTTAAATATTCATATTTCAATACTAAGTATACTGGACAAACTCTAGAACCACTAAAATAAATAAGAGTTACCCCATTCAACTAATTTTTTACCATTTCTATTTCAATCAAACCCAGTATTTTAAAGACTATATTGTATAAGCCTAATAAACTGAAATCACTGAAATACTTATGTTAGAAAACCTGTAAGTCACATTCTGATAAGATGACTAAGTAATTTTGCATGACAACAATGGATGCAGCTTTTCTTGAAACATTTTATTTATGTATTTCTCATAGAAATCTTTCTGAACTCAAATGTTTATTTTAGTTACAAATCAGCACCTTTTTCTAAAAAGCTGAAGTTCCATCTGTGTGCGATTTCATTGTTTTACTGGTATTTTCTATTCTGACTGCTTTTAAAAACTTCATAATGAGAAATTAAGATACTATTATAAATGTGCAAGTGAATCCTGTATTAGGTAGAATACACATACCTGTCAGATCCTGCAGTTACAAATAAAAACATTTAAATATCTGTTAATTACTGTTCTTTGATTCAGTATCATCTCTTAATACTGTCTTTGATGTCTGCACACTTATGAAAAGTCAAGACAGAAATGACTGTCTCAGTTCAGTAAACATATTTAAATATTTACCATTCACATGGGTAATAGTCATGGTATACTAACCATATGACTACATGTATGGTATACAACTCAGAGCTAAAAATGAACACCAGTAATGAAACAGATCCAAAAAAACAATTAAATGAGATTAAATTAATCAAACCCCACAAGCTTATGTTTTGAAAATTACTTAAAATGTTTTTGTTCTGTTCTTTTTTACTGTGTAGCATGAGCACAGATCTAACTAAAAAGCCTTCCAAATTGAAAGATGCCTAACGTCTCTGATCAGAGAAAAGGCACGTGAGAGTTGCTGAATGCACACATACAAAGATATAAATAGCAATTTACTGTAAAGCAGATTCAAATTCATCACACACATTACTAGAATAGTCAAAATAAAATCAACCAAAAGTTTCCCCTCACCAACACAAGTGCCACACTGACTAGAATAAGATTACAACATTTAAAAAAGGCATCTTTTACCCTTAATAAAAGAAAACCGATATATTCTTGCTAATAAAGCCAATAATATAAAACTCATTTTTGCCTGACTACAATGTAATTTCAACAGGAAGAAAAGTTCAAATCCAGGAAAAAGCATGTGCTAACATATGTAACACTGATGTATAATCTTCCTGGCCAGTGAAAGGCTGAAGAAGATATATTAGTGGTGTTGACAGACTGTTAGCATGTCCCACAGGACAAACTTTCAGCAAGGCATGAATCTGAACATACTCAAGAAATCAGTACTTTGCAACAGAAATATAATTGTCATTTAAATCAACTGGATTTTTTTTAGGAAGGATTGGTTTTAAAAAAATGGTAACAGGAAAACTAGTATATGCCATCATTACTTTTGTGTCCTGTTAATTAACCCTCTACTCCAAATCCATCCTGTTCAACTGATGTTGCAGTCAAGAGACAGCAGAATGAGTTAGTCTTAACAACGTTTAACTTCAGAAGTTCACAACCAACCAGGATCCTGGTTATCTAACAGGTCAGAGAAGTAATGATGGGTAATCACTTTTTATCCTTGCAGAAACCTCAGCTGTGTAACCACACAATAATCGTTACCTTTCTAGCACTTATGCAAGATAGTAAAGTTAGTAATGGGAAATTTGGTTGTCACCAAAATGTAGCCAGCAATGAACATTACAATAGATTCCCAAAAGGCATACTCTAGCCTTTCAACCAGAGCAAGGCTGCATGTCAACAAAATCTGAGATAGTTGCTATAGCAGAATGGAAGAATGTTAGTCAAGAGAAAATGCTAAATATGTTAAGCACTTAAGCACATACTGCTAACATCTCGGTTCTATAAACCTAGCAACTATGGACGCTACCTATACACATTTCCTTCCCTATGAGGCTGCTTCAGGTAACACTAATCATTTGTCCCATCACATCCTGTTTAAGATCAATGTACTAAAAAATGAAGGTTCATACACTGCATTTAGCTTACTGTATTACACTCATTACCATAAGTTGTCTGCTTTTGCTTCCTACCATGTCTTCTCTACTAGCATTGGTAAATATCTGACCGAGCTTGTGACAGATCAAATAAATGTTCAACTGATATTATCTCAGAAAGTCAGACTGAACGTACATTTGCTAACAAAACAGCAAATTCTCGGAATTGTCATGACAGGTACACTCCTTCAAATACACTTGGAACGGGGAAAGTGCCAGGGAAGCTAGGAGGCTGAGACAGAACCAAAATGGAAACATAGCAGAAAGCCAACAGAAGGTCACAGGAAAATAATTATTTGCACCCATGTTCACCATTAAGTAATCTAGGGCTCCTTCACACTTGGATCCTAATTTATATGGAGCATATTGGTTATGTACTTCAAGTTCAGATACCACCAGAAGGAGACACAGAGTAAATCACCAAAAGAAATAGTAACAATTTACCCACACTGCATATGATTCATTTAAAACATCTAAAGGAAATAAGGTGTAAAGTTGAATAACCAATTGTAGGCTGTCACTAGCTTGTAAAATAGTCTTACTTTTAACCTCAGAGATTTCCTAAACTTCTTTCAAGAAGTAAACAAAATTTATTGAGTGAAATTGTCTACTTGGGTTTGAAACAGATTTTAGCAAAGCTCCACATTAGGAGCTCTTAAAGAAACCCAACTGCTGTATTTTAAGGGGAGAAAAAAATCTTAAGTAAGAGCAATAAATGCTTAGTTTACTCAAAAAATATAATCCAGAGATATAATAAAAGCTTTTATGATAAAAAAATAAATATTCTGACAAAATAAACTGAAAACAAACTCTTCAGAGCAATAGAAGATGATGAATGCAGAATGGTGTATTCAGAAATACAGTCTGAGCATTCAAAAACCATGATCCAAAGCTGTGTTTAGGGCAGAAACAGCTTGAGGCTAATTTTATATTTATAATGTTTCAAAAAAAATCTGCAAAACCTTCTAAAATTAGAAAAACCCCAACTATTTCTAAGATTCAGGAAAAGGTCAAGAATGTATCAAGAGGTAAAAACTCCACAAGAAGGACTTAAAACAGTAGGTTTTATCATTTGTGAAACAAAATTATCAAATTAGATTAAGGGGAACTTTTAAAATCATACAAAATACAGGTTAAGAATCTCATGATAAACACTGAAGTAATGCTCTGGATAAAGTTAGAACATTAACTCTGGAATGACCATCATGAACACATCCAGGACATACTGCATTCCGTGTCTTTTCTGGTTTACAACAGATTACTACTTACACAATTTTTAAGGAACTAAACAATATGGGTTTTTTAATATTCAAGCTCCTTTGGGCTCATGAATATAATCCTTGACTACAGATCTACCTTACTTATCCACACCAAGTGAAGTTTAACATTTAATGAGCATTATCAACTTAACTAGTTTCCCTTCTCT